TTTCATCTACAAATTAAATAAACATTCCCTGCCCTTCCTCATCTAAATCATTAATGACTATGTTGAAGAGGACTGAATCCTATAGTACCCCACGTTATCTCTTCCTAGTTTGAGAAGGTGCTATTGATGAGCACTCGCTGAGTCTGATTTTGTAGTGCACTGTAGCTGCTAGTTGTTCCATCTAGACCACTTACCTAATTGCTAATCAGGATATTATGGGGCACTTTGTGAAAAGCTTTGTTAGAGTCTAGATAGATTATGCTCACAGCGTTACCACAGTCCATTTGGGAGGTTACCAATCAAAACTTGAAATTAGATTAGTCAGGCAGAATTTGTTCTTGAGAAATCTATGCTGGTTTCTAGTAATCAATGCATTGTTTTCAAGGTGTTTGCAGACTGACTGTTTTATAATCTGTTCCACTATTTTCCCAGGGATTGAAGTCAGGCTGTTTGATTTATAGTTGCTAGGTTTTTCTTCTTTTTCTTACTTGAAGATTAGTCCTTCTCCAGTTATTTGACACTTCCCCTGTTATCCAAAATTTTTCAAAGACTATAGATGGTGGTTCTGGGAGTTCTTCTGTCAGCTCATTTATGACTTTAGGATAAAGTTCATCAGGCCCTGGAGATCTGAACTTACTTAACTGTAGAGAAAAATCACCAGAAGACTATTGTACAGTGGTACCTGTACAGTGGTACCTCGGCTCACGAACGCCTCAGTTCACGACCAAATCAGGTTGTGAACAGAAATTTCATAAAAATTTTGCTGCAGGTCTCGAACTCCGCATTGGGTGATGATCACGAGTGCACCCACCTTCCCTGCATGGGCACGATTGCAGTTGTGCTTGGGGGGGGGGAGATGGCAGCAATCTCCCCCCCAGCACGCCCATGCCTGCACCCACAAGCACGCCAGTCTCCCCCCCAACAGTGCGCCTGCAATCGTGCCAGTCTCCCCCCACTCCCCCTCACAATCATTGGTGGGGAGAGATGGCTGCAATCTTTGCTGTTCTTTGTCACTTTGCTTCAGATTTTTGAGTTAAAAAAAAAAGTTACAGAATGGATTAACCTTATTTACATTGACCCTTATGGGGAAATTTGACTTGGCTCACGACCAATTTGGGTCATGACCAGAGTCCCAGAACGGATTAAGTTTGTGAGCCAAGGTACCACTGTATATCGAGGAGTTAGGGTGGTGTGACACAATTGCCCTTCTTTTCCTACCTTAGAAACAGCCCCGCTTAAAAAACTCAGTTGAGGCTCTCCAGCATGCAAAAGAATGTTATTCTAAGCTGACCTTGGAATGCAGCAGAATATGGTACTTATCACTGTGAGACCAGCAAACAGCAGATGTGGCCAATTAACTGTTTTGAATAGCAGTTTTCTACAGCACCTAACACCCTAAGATTTAGGATAAAAGAAGGCTCGCAGCTCTGCCCAAGGGAGCTTCAGAGTGGATCTAGCCCAGGGAGGAAGGTGCTGCACATTGACCGGGGGGGGGGGGAGGTTTACTTGCCGTTCACGAAGGGGGCACCTGATGGCCAATTGAGGAAAGCCAGCTTGCTTGGTACTGTATTTCCTTCCTTCTCCCCCCTTTCCATGTTATTATGTTTGTTAACATTATTGTACCTGCTTTAGAATAAAAACTTTAGACTTTAACCCACCTGTGTGCTCATTGCTCCTGGATCCAGAAAGAACCCTTTGTCTTTGGCAAAACATTAACCCAATGAAATGATCCTTGACCATTTGCCTATGAATCTTGAGCTGCCATCCTGCTCCTACTTCTCCTTCATCAGGAAGGTCATAGATCATCTCTTGGGAGATGAGTGAAGAAGTAGAAATTGAGCACTTCTGCCTTCTCTTTTCATCTGTTATCATTTTGCCACTCACACTAAGTAGCTCAACCCCCATTTCTTCCCTCTTGCTTTTACTATGAACATAACTGAAGAAAGTTGTTTTGGTGCTTTTAACCTCAGATCATTCCTAGCTTTAGCCTTCATGATGTCTTCCTTGCATTTCTGTGCTACCTGCCTGTATTCTTCCATTGTAGCCTGACCTTCCTTCCACTTCCCCTGGAAGGAAGTGACCTTCCCACTTACATGTCCCTTCTTTTCAGATCATCTCAAGATTTTTTGTGAAGCTACATGGGCTTCTTCTGTTGTCTTCTACCCCTTTTCCTTGTTGGAATTATTGGTAATTGAGCCTTTAGAATTTCCTTTTTTTTAAATTCCCACCCATGTTGGACTTCTTTTCTCATTAAGAGTCACTTGCCAAGTGACTTTGCTTATCATTCATAGCTCATTAAAACTGGCTTTCCTAAAATCCAGGGTACCTGTTTGGGTACATTTGGTTTTTACTTCCTTTAGAATCAGGAATTCAAGGATGACATGGACACTTTCTTCTAGAGTTCCCATGACTCCTACTTTGTCCACTAGGTCTTCCCCTGCTGATTAGTATTCAGTCAAGGATATCCAGTCCTCTTTTTATTTCTCCACTTTTGCTAGCAGAAGGTATCAGCACACAAATTAAGGATCCCTTGGAGGGGGCATGTTTGGCAGAATTTGTCTCACAACAGATTTCCCCAGATATAGGGGATATGGAAGTCCCCCAAAATAACATCGTGCTTCCTTGAAACACTGGCACTTTGATTTTCAAAAGTTCCATCTTTGTCTTCTCCTTGGTAATAGACTCCAATCACTGTGCTTATTATAATTGTTGCTCCATTTATATTAATCCTGATGTTCTCAATGCAGCTACTAAGCTCATCCGCCTGCATGTATCTTGAACTTTTAAGTATGACTCCACCTCCCTTTCTGTTCCTTCTGTTCTTGAGCAAGTTGTATCCTTCAGTTGTTGAATTCCAGTCAAGGGAGTCATTCCACCAAGTTTCAATTATACCTATCAGGTCACATTCATGCTCCTATATGAAGGAGCATGCTCTTTGTTTCCCATATTCCAAGCAATAATATATAGACATCGAACATTGAGTGCCTTATTCTCCAGTTTTTTTCCTACAATTATTAGATTATTGGGCACTGTTAAAGCTGCTCTCTCTATTGTAGTACATCAGCATTTGTCTCTTATGCCCAGGTTAGGATTCAGTTTAAAGGCCTTCTGATGAACTTCACTCTGTGGCCAGACACCTTCTTTCCAGGCCTTGTAAGGTGCAACCCTTCCCTTGCCGGCAGTCCAAATTCCAGGAATCCATGGTTCCAGAATTCAAATCTCTCATATCAGCACTACCTTCATAGCAAGGTATTCACCTAGAATTTTTCTTTCCCTGTCTAGTCCTCTTCTAATAACTGGAAGGACTGAAGAGAAAACTATCTGGGCTCCGAAGTCCTCAACTTTCCTTCCTGAAGGAATTTCTTCAAAGCTTCACTTGGCAGTGTCATTTGTTCCATGTGTGTAAGATGGGAGGAATATATGTCAGTGGGCTTTATGAGCCTTGGCAATCTTTCAGTTACATCACTAATCTGTCTTCCAGAGAGACAGGATACCTGACTACTCCACAGGTTTTCCTGCCATAAATGTGTTTCTGCACCATGCAACAACGAGTCTCCCACAACTAACACTCTTCTTTTCTTGTTCTTGCAAACCTTGGTTATCATTGCAACTATGTGGTTCACCTTTAAGCTCTTGTTCAGTGTTGCACGGGATTTCTTCTGCTTCTTCCCCGCCAGCTGACTTCCACTCTCACCTTGGAGTAACTGAAAGTGGTTCCATAGTTCCACTGTTTCCACTGGCACAGAGTAACTTCTAGTTCTTCTGCTCCTGTCACCCTTTTATAGGCTGCTTCCTCCTCACTTACCCTTGCCTCAGGATTCTCCTCTTCTGCCTCACCTTGCTGTTGCACTTTGTCTCCTGCACTACACTTCCTCCGTGATGGCACCTTAACTTTAGAATGCCCTCCCTAGAAAGGTAGGCTTTGTGCCTAATCTAGAATCATTTGGGCAACTGGTTAAGATGTACTTTTAACCCAGTCTTTTAAATTGGTATGTCTGCTCAGCCTGCATTTTTCACTGAAATTATAATTAAAACATTTATTGAATATGGTTGTTGGACATTTGTTTCAATACATGGCATAATGTTTTAAAATAATTATTTGTGTTTTACTTTACCCTGGAATCTCAGGTAATGAGAAACAGTACAGAAATGGTTTAAAGAAATAAGCAAACAAATTTGAAAAACCCTGTAATGAAGGTTAGGTTGAAAGTTTAGATTAAAAATCAGATTTCTTTTTCTAGTTTTCTACTAAAAGACCAATTTCTTCCTTGAAAGCATCATTCCTTTTCAGACAAGGGAAGTGTTGAAATATACTATGTAGTTCTGTTTTTCAGACCAAGGAGTCTGCAAAGTTCTTCCTCAAAACAAATAGTATAAATTTACACATTCCTACTTAGAAGTAGGTTCAATTGTATTAAATGGAACAAGTGGGTCTAGGATTGTAGCTTTAGTATTTACATACAGTCCTCCAGGCATTATCTATTGGATAATACACTTCAGTAACTGGCATGTATCGCCATCATTTATGTTCAGATGCTGTATTTGCAAAGTATTTTCTGCATTTGCTGTATTTACAGAACTTGAGAATGCTGGCCTCTGGGCAGTTTGTTTGGCTATAATCTTTTAGAAACAAATGTTTCCCAAAAGCTAGATCTGTTGGTTGGTGATTGCAGATTTGTACATGAGTGCTATCTGGTGGGCAAACAGGAGTTATTCTCAGTTTTCTCATTTGCAAATAGGAGCTGTAATGCTATGCTTGGAAGTAACTCAGGTAATTTATTTTCATATAGAAATGCAGAGGGAGATCAAACCATTAGTAGCAGATGCAGATGGACTTCCTCCACTACTTCTGCTCCAAAAAGCATTTATTTTATGGCCAGAATCTAACTAGATTATATTTCCAGGTGTTTATACAATCAGCAAAGTAAATTAATGAACAAATGAAAGCACCAATACCTTTTCACTCCAGTAGAAAAATTGAAACACAGACACACCAGACATATGTTTTTAGAATGTATTTTCAAAATAAAGACTGAACAAAGTAATTAACCAAGACCAATCCTTCCAAGGCTTACATTTCCACCAGAAATTAAAAAGCCATCTAATCTTGTTTTTGTTCAACACCTTTAGTTTCCTTCAGCATTTCTTGCCAGTTTTTCTCCATTTCCTCCTTACAAGTGAGAAAGGCATCTTCCAGCCGTCTCATTGAGTTGGCCAAATCTGGGTTAGTACGCATCACAACCATATCATAAGCCATCCATGTAGCCTGCACTGGGACAACCAAAGAGAAAGACTCAGTAATCTGATGGGATTTTTTAGGAATGAACAATGGAGAGAAAAAAGATGAAACAGGTAACAAAAAAGTTCCTAATAACAAATATATCTTCAAATATGATAAATCCAAATTAATGCTCAAAAATGCTTACCATGTTATTCACATATCCACAATCTTCCACTTTCCTGAACCTCATGATGGATTAGCATCAGCATTTTTAGTTGGAATTATCATGATTATGACAGCCTGGCTGTTAGAAATTTGCATTATGTTATTGTTTTCTGATAGCTTTCAACATGGTTTGAGTTGAAACCAGTCTACAGAAAAAGGAATAGAAAGCAACAGCTCTTCCCTGTATGGGCAAGCTCCAAATGCCCTCATTGCCACTGTGGGTTTTGATGTGAGATACTCCTACACATATACAATGATACAATCTCAGCTAGTGACTAAATAAGAAAAAGATGTTGGTGTTGTAGTGGCAGTTAGATGAAATGTCAACCTAGTCTGCAGCTGCTGTGAAAAATGCAAATTTCACAATCAGCATAATCAGAAATGCATTTGACAGTAAAATTTTCAATATCATACTGTCCTTATACAAGCCTATGAGGAAACAAGAGATAAAAATATTGTGCACTGTTCTCATCAATACACTTAAAAAGGATATTGTAGAACTGGAAAAGGTGCATGTAATTATAAACTGGGACAACCAAAAAGATAAAGTGGCTGGAGCAGCCTAAAGAAAGTTTAAGGGGCTAAATATAAAGAAAGTGTGCAACATCTAGGACTATTAAGCTTTGAGAAAGATTATGTTTAAGAAAAACTGCTGCAATACAAATTATGCAACCTGTTGAGAAAGTGGATGATAGAACCTTAAGTCATCCCATAAGAAGCTGAATGTTAAGAGAACAGATAAAAGGAAGTACTTAATTCCATAGCTCGTACTCTTAGCCCAACCTATCTCACAGGTCTTTTGTTGTGAGTCTAAGATTGAGAGGAAATGGAAAATGATATAAGCCACCTTGAGTCCTTCAAAGGACAAAGGTGGGATATAAATATAATTAAATAAATAAATAATAGTGATCGCTACTAACTTGTATGGCTTTAAAAGGGGACAAGACATATTCATGGAGAATAAGGCTATCATTGACTAATAGAGGTAATATACATAATAAATAAGATCAGAGGCAGTATGCCTTTGTGGTCCAGTAATGGAAGAACAGCAGCAAGGGAATGCTACTCCTACTTGTGGATTTCCCAGAGACCCCTGTTAGGTCATTGTGTGAACAGTACGCCAGACTAAACAGCCCTTTGGTTTGATCCAGCATGGCTCTTCTTATATTCTTACATTCTTAATTTAATCAAAAAAATAACATGGAGAAAGAAATTAAGCATCCATCCTCTGATTGTTTCCAAGGCTTTTATTTTGTTAAAATATGCACCTTAAATCCATCTTCAGCCAGCCTCTTTGAAATTTGTATATTGTAATAATAGTGTAAAGCAAAGTAGACAAAAAGAAGTCCACGGATGCCCTCAGAACCCTTTCTTGCATTTGACAAGGCACCCTGCCCCTCTCGTTTTATATATATAAACACATTTCCTTACTAACTATTTGGAATCATTTCAAAGCAATGTCAGGCTCTCCAGCCACTGTCATCATTTCCCACAAATATATCCAGGGTTCAAAGACATCATTAGTAAAGGAATCTGTCAGGCAGCTATAGGCTAACAGTTTTTTTTTCTTGGTGGTTGAGTGTGTTACAAAGGAATCAAAAAATATAAATGCCTGTTGCTACTTTCTGGAAACTAAAGTCAGCAACAGTGACTGTGGTGAAGAGGGCCTAGGTAGGACAGTGATAAATCAGCAGAGGGGTCAAAGAAGCCAGCAGGAAGGGAAGCAATCTGTGAGGTTAGGAAGGAAGGTGCGCTTACACAATAGATGGGGGCTCCATGTGTGAAATACAGGGAAAGGGTGAGAGACCAGGATTTTAGAGGGATCCTTAAAGAAAGGTTTTTTTGATATACTTGTAGTGATAAGGCATGCAGCATGTGAAGTGTGTGCAATTGAGAGTGTGTGTGAATGTCTGCATTGGTGATGATCCAGGATTACACAGTGTATGGGGGGAAATTCAGAGTGCAAGGGATAATGGGGGATGAGTTGGATGGTATAGTGTGAAAAAGAATAAAATAGATTCTGCTGGCACAGAAAATTGTGAATTTATATGATAGCTTTAAATGCTTTCTCTGCTTCATACTCAGTATTTTGGGGCAGTTCCTTGTCACCAGCCATACCTCCCACGGCAACCATTTTGTGATGGTGCCTGGGTCAGTTTCTCAAATTGCCAGATGAAAGGTTGTCTATATCTGGTATAAACTCTCATTTATAACCCAGTAAACTACGACACATGATATCTGTGATCTGAAAAAGAGTTCACTAGCATTTTAGTACCATCTTAGTCAATATTTCTTTTTCATAATCTGAGATCTAGGATCAAAGTCACCACCCAAACCTAAGCAACTCCAATGGTTGTTACAAATGTGGGCAAAACCATGTATAGTTCCTTGAAGCATAGATACTGTAATGTATATGAATACAATATCAACAACCTCAAATATGCAGACAATACCACTCTAATGGCAGAAAGTGAAGAGGAACTAAAGAGCCTCTTGATGCAGATGAAAGAGGAGAGGGCAAAAGTTGGCTCGAAACTCAACATCAAGAGAACTAAGATTATGGCAACCGGTCCTCTCACTTCCTGGCAAATAGATGGGGAAGAAATGGAGGTAGTGACAGATTTTATTTTCCTGGGCTCCAAGAACACCGCAGACAGGGACTGCAGTCAAGAAATTAAAAGACGCTTGCTCCTGGGGAGGAAAGCTACAGCAAATCTAGACAGCATACTGAAAAGGAGAGACATCACGCTGCCGACAAAAGTTCATATAGTCAAGACTATGCTTTTCCCAGCTGTAATGTATGGCTGTGAAAGTTGGACCATAAGGAAGGCTGAGCACTGAAGAATTGAGGCCTTTGAATTGTGGTGCTGGAGAAGACTCTTGAGAGTCCCTTGGACTGCAAGGAGATCAACCCTGACTGCCCTTTAGAAGGCCAGATACTGAAGATGAAACTCAAATACTTTGGCCACCTAATGAGAAGGGAGGACTCACTGGAGAAGAGCCTAACGCTGGGAACAATTGACAGCAGAAGAAGAAGGGGACGAGAGAGAATGAGGTGGCTAGATGGAGTCACTGAAGCAGTCGGTGTGAGCTTAAGTAGACTCCAGGGGATGGTGGAGGACAGGAAGGCCTGGAGGAGTGTTGTCCATGGGATCGCGAAGGGTTGGATGTGACTTCGCAACTAGCAACAACAACAAATAAATACATGAACCACTAAGAAAATGCCAAAAGGAAAGAAAAATATATGGTTTTCAACAGTAATTTAAATCAGTGGAAATTCTGAGGTTCTACATATTGGAAATACACAAAAGGGGGACAGACATCCATAACAGAAAATAAATAAGATCCTTAACACAGAATCCAAAGAACTCTGAATTTACATATAATGCAAGAATGCACTTCTAGCCTTTCCATTTATGGAGAAATATAAGGGATCTGTCATGTTTAGGCTTTGTATACTAGTAAGAAAATCATAATACTAGAATTTCATAATTTCCCAGAATATGAGAAACAAGAACTAGGACAACCTGGGGTCATTTAGTGAAGCTTGAACAGGGGAGATTCAGGACAGATAAAGCGAAGTATTTCATTACAACACATAGTTAAACTATAAATTCAGGATATAGTGATGGTCACCAATTTGGGCAGCCTTAAAATGAGAATTAGGCCAATTAAAATGGGATAAAGCTATCACTGATTACATATCATAATGGCTATATATACCTGAAAGGCAAAGGGCATAGACCTGAATACCTGGTGCTGGTGAACACAAGCTTGGGGTGGGGGTTGGGGGATGCTATTGCACTCATATCCTGCTCATGAACTTTTCATAGGCATCTGGTTGACCATTATTGGAACAGAATGTTGGATTAGATGGACCTTCAGTTCAATCCACCATGTTTTTTTTTCTTTTGTGGGGAAGAAGTAATAGAGAGCATGCTTTCATTATAGTCAGAAGTGCCTGGTCCTGCATAATCTTGGAAGCTAGGTAGTGTCACACCTGGTTAGAATCTGGGTGGGTGACTTGACTGTATGATTCTATAATCATTTTGTAAACAGCCCTGATCCAGCATTGGTTCCACACATTACATGTGACTAATGGGACCAAGATGAGTATTATAATATGAAGATACTTCCTCATCAACTACACACTCACTGAATCAGAGTGACAGCATTATTAGCAACGTGTAAGATGCTCTGCAGGAATTAGACACACCTGATAGCTTTTCCATGTCTTCCAGCAGTTTTTCTAAATCCCTGTTCAGATCTTCAAGCATTTTTACTACATTGTCATAATTTCTTTCACAAGGTTCACATTTGGCCATCTAAAAGTAAAAAAAGAAAGTGAAATGAGTAAAACTGCAACTGAGTGAAACCTACATTTAAATTAAAAATCACATTATTTTAATAATTACACTATTATTTTTAAATTTAAATGTAAATTCTTTTATCCATTTTACCCTATTCTATTTGTTTATTCTCAGACTAGCTTAAAAACTCAACACTGTTCCTGTCATGCTTACAATCTAAAAAGATATAACACTATATATCACTATATAAGACAAATAGGGATGAGAAGAGGGGGGAAATGAGCACCAGCTTACCAAGTTCATTGAACAGAAATGGTTGAGAGACAGGAAGAACCAAATGGAGTTGCTGTCCCATCTCTCTTCCTGAATTTAAAATGAGCCGGCAGGATCTAGCCAATAGTTACAATTTATTACCTGCACAACTCAATCAACTACTTTCATCTGGAATCTTCCATGTATTAAAATGGTCATCTGCAGTCTTTTTTCTAAGAAGCTTTAAAATGCACCAAAGAATTCTGGACAAATGGACTATTAAGTCAAATGGTGATATATAACAAAATATACTTAAATTACTAGTTCAATATTGCTGAAAATAAGAGCACTTTCTATGAGTCAAAAATAAAGGATTTCAATGCTTTACTTCTTGAAATAATAAATTTTGAAACCAGTGTGATAGCAGAAACATGGGAAAAGGAAATATAGCCTTCATTGCCACAGCAAATGTTGAATAAGATTTAATAAAGGTATCCAGTCTACCACAGGAGTGCTCAACTTTCAAGGGTCCAGTGATCAATTTATCACTCTACACAAGCCACATCTCCCCCATGCTTTCAAAATCAGCACAAATGCCCCATTGTCACCAAAACTAGGCTAGAAGAAAACAAACAAAAAAGCTGCATTTTCACTTTAGAACTTTGAATGCTCAAGAAAAAAGTATCCCCAAAGCAACAAACATCTTTGTTAAGCACACCATTTAATCTTTTGTCACTGTACCCATCCAGTGCCCTAATTTAAGGGTGCAATTTTATGGGTTGTGCTCTCACAAGATAGAAGTCTCCAAACTCAGATGTTTCCATGAATCCAGTACCTTGCCAAACTGAAGCACATGGGGCAGAAGGAACAATGGAAATTATCTTCACCACAACAGTTACCATGTGGCATGGTACCCTACCTTCACACATTCACTATGCATGCATGATTTCCATGCTTCTCCATTTTCCCTCAAATAGTGACACGTGTCCATTCAGCCACCATGACACAGAATCAATCCCAGAAAGCACTGCTCTGCCTGCCTCTCCCTCCTTGACCCATACAATCCCCAGGGCATGGGCTCAGGAGGTTGCCTGCTTTTGGTTTATTTTTTTCTAGCTGCTTTATGAAGCAACTACCTACACACTAGAGTAGTACTGTTTCTCTAGAGGAACACTCCCCATTGCTGCTCTGCAGCAACATACAACATTCACACCTCCACAAACCACCCCTCCCCGCTCCCTCACTGTACATGAGTGGACACCTCTCCACCCCCTGTGCATAGCACTCACACACGCTGTCAGGGGCTGCTGTCCCCTGCACCAAGGCACACAGATGGCATCAGTGCAGGAACCATGGCAGTGATGGAAGGAGTGCTTCCCGCCAAGCAGACTTTCCCAAGGGTGCCTGTATGGACATCTGCCCAAGCAAGTTCTCCAGTAGACTATTAGGATAGTGTTTGTCCTGCGGCTGTGGTGGGGGTGGGAACAGCAGGGGTTGTGAACAGCCCTCAGGAATGCACCCTCAGGAGTGGCAAGGAGGGCAAAAGAGAGAGTGGGAGACTTGCCCAGATGTTGATGCCCGCACCCAGCCTGCTTCCTCCTGAAGTGTAAGGGAACCTTCACATAAGGAGACACTGGCTCCCCAAGTAGAACAAGCAATGCAGGCACTTCCAAGCACCACTCCAGCAAGTACAGTGACCAGACTGGAAAAGCAAGTGTGGCTGCCTCCATGGTGCTGCAGCTAGATGCCCTGCTGCTGCTGCTATTCCAAAGCCGCAACTGGGTATCAGGATGGCAGTACATGGGCAGAGGGAAAAAAACAGCACAAGGAAGCCAATCAGAGCATGGCTGCATCTGCCACAGCAGTTGCTAGGTTAAACAGAACAGTGAAAAACACAGGCTGAATTGTCTGCTTCAGCCATACCTGCTTTTGCCAGCAAAGCAAGCAGAAATGTGGAAACCATGCAGAAACAAAGCAGCTGCAGTCACATATAATGACAAGCCATTGTGAAGTGTGGAAACGCCACAAGAAGCCATTGTTTCTCCACAGAGTTTCATGGAAGCCAAACATGTTGCATCACTGCGGAGGCCGAATTCACACATAACAGCTGAATTCACATGTAAGAACAACCCATGACAGGAATGGCTTGTTGTTTTGTGTGAATACCGGAATCATGGTGAAATGTGACACATTGGGATACCATGAATCAGCACAGAGAAGCAACAGTTTGTTCTACTGTTTCCACATTTCAGCATTGCTTGTCGTTATGTGTGAAGCCAGTTACAGTGTTTTTCCATGAACTCCCCATTTCAGCCAGGAAGTATGGTGGCAAGAGCAGCTGCAGTGGCACAAGCCACCATTTCGTGCTACCCTGAGTTGCCAGTGGACAAGGCACTGATTGGCTGTCTCTGCACTCCCTGTCCTCCCTTCCACTGCATGCTCCCTGATGCCCAGCCACCACACCACTGCCATTCCCATCACTTTGCCACCTTACCCACCTCCTGACAAAATACCCCACCTAGCCCACCCTTTTGCCAATTTGCTGTGATGCCATCTTGTCCACCTTACTCAGCCACTGAGTGCAGCAAGGTTACATGATGTGGGCAAGCTGGCCAGGAGGTAGGCAAGGTGGGTGATTCAGCAAGGCAGACATGGTGAGGCAAGCATCACAATGAACAGCAAAGGGATGAGGGGTGAGAGAGCAGAGCAGCAAGGGGGCAAAGATGTGCGGGGCTGGAGTTGCAAGGAGGTGGAACAGTGGGTATGATGGCAGCAGGGCAGCTGAGCATGAGGGCATGCATGCTGGGAATAGGGCAGCCAGGCATGGCATGGGCAGTGTGTGGGGGCTTTGCCAACGCAGAGGGATCCCTGTGTCCCTGGCACCAGTGTTTTTGCTCTTGCTCTCTATGTGCCGGGGTACATAGGGGAGGCAGTGCTGGTAAATTGTGCAAACCCTGCACCCAGAGAAGTTAGCATTGGCCAGATGTGCAGTGAGGGAGGGGGAGGTGTGGGCGGGTTCTTATACATGGGCAGGGAGTGTGGCAGCAGTGGACAATGCTGCTCTCCTGCTCCTTTGAAGCCACCCTTCTATTCTGATGAGTAAACAGAGGTTCTGTGGAGCAGCGGGAAGGTAGGGAAGTAGCTGATGCCTGAGCACACATCTAGGGGAGCATTAGGCCAATGGGGAAGAGGCAGGCAATGCAGGCAGGAGTGGTATGTGATGGGTTCTGTTCCCAGCCACAGAGGCAGATGGAATATGTGCCACCATTTGGAGAGAAGACAGAAGCACACATGAACAATTCATGAATAGTTACTTCATAAATGTGTGAGCACAGGACAGAAGGTAAGAAAGGTAACTTTGTGGTATTCCTTAGCATTATTTGTGAACAGCACCATTGACAAGCCATGCCTGCATGGTTTCCAGCATGGCTTATTGGTATGTGTGGATTCAGCTGGAATGTAGACAGACAAGGGAGTTCTAGAACCTTCTTCCAATAAGCTTCTTAAGTGAGGACTGGTAGAGAAAGAAGAGGAACAAGGTGTTTACATTCAAGGTCAACTCTATTCTCTGACTGTAGTTAAAAACAAATTACTGCAGGCCCTTATGAAAGCTGCACTGGGTTACTGCCACTATAATTCCAAAAGACAAGGATGGAAAGGATGAAACTAAAGAAATTAGTTTCTTTTATGTAAGTCTTATTAAGCCCCAGCTTTCACAATTACAGAAATCTTAATTTACAGCATGATCCTGTGCATGTTACATCCCAGAGAATTCAGTGGGACATATTTCCATGTAAGTGTGTATGGGACTGCAGCCTACTGATAAAAGATCATAGAAATTGGGTTGTTTTCACATCCAGTATGCATAGCTATCAGCCGCTAACATTCTGTTTAGTAAATTCCATACCCTACCCGCCTTTATCTCCATCTGCTACTCAGCTATTCCCATCTGTGGTGCATTTTAGCTTTATGCTTCACTCCTTGGCCAAGTGATTAAATTCCCATATTCCTAATTAGCAGAAGTTTTATTCAGCTGGCAAACTCTTGTGAAGGGATTCACAAGCAAGTCTGCCTGCTATTCCACACCTCAGTGCTGTGGCTGATCCTATGAAAATGACTACTTTGCTTAACAGGGTTTTAACATCATGAAGAGATTCTTCAGGAGGTTGGCCTTCCACTTTGTGGCTAGCTCTAGCTTCTCATATGTGTCGAAGATTCAGCCTCATTACTGAGCTGAACTGAAGTTGCTCTCTGCCTGGAATGCCCAAAATCTTGGTTCCTCTTTGCACTCAATTCCAGTTTTCTCCTCCGTGATGTACAGCAAGCATACAGCAAAAACTTTGCTTAATTAAGTCAAACAAACTGTTAGGCAAACACATTCTAAAGCCAACTACAAACACGACAATAAAAAGTCACAAATCTTTTGCTTTAATGTAGTCAGGACTGGAACTAGAGACCAGTCATGAAGTAATTTGCACAGCCTTTCTTCACTCAACAAAAATAATCCCTTCCTGCATTACATGTCCACTAGTTTCATAAAACCATTTCAGGATCTAACTTCAGAAACCACAGTACTACAAACTAAGTTAAATTGCATCTTTCCGTATTCTGTATAAGTGTGTTTTTCAACTATGCAAGGAATCAGAGCATCAAAAATGGTTCCCATGTGGTTCTTGAAGCTTGTGACATACCAAATTTAATTTGAACTACTTGGATTTAAATAAATCCCTCATTATAATCAGTCATAGGAAATTGAATTGAAT